ATTTCTTCAAGGAAAAATTTCTGAACAGCTTCAGCGTCGTTAAGGTCAGGTAACTTAGAAAGTCCAGCTCTCTCCTTGGCAAGCTTCTGTTTCTTTCTTCGTTCTTGAAGCCTGTTCTTGAAGTTGAGATCACTTCGGTGATCCGCTTGCTGTCGAAGTAAATGCAGGAACGATGAAGAGGGCCCCCGCACACGCCGGCAGCCGGCAGCGATGGTGGGGTTCCGACCTACCATCTCCTTTGACTTCACTGTGCCGGGCACAGCGGGTCCACTCCGGAGACGTCGGCCACAAACCTCAATGATTTTTGTTTTATAAAGGACCAGTAGTAAAGACATCTAGTGAATTTGTTGAATCGGGAAGACTTAGCAACTGGGGTGCATCCCGGGGTAGTGCACTTTCCCAGCAGGCACAGGACCTGACTTCTGTCCCCGGCATTGCAAAATAAAAGGGAAAACTTGGGGCAGTTTTGTGGGGAACTCATATTACTGTATGAGTTCAAAGTAGGATACCTAAACTGAGAGTTTAACTTATTTGTGTAATATCTTCCCATACCTGAAACTAAGAAAGAATGTAGGCTTTAAATTTAAATTTGACTTAAATTTAATTAATTTTCTTGGGAGGCTAAGGCAGGAGGATCGTTGCAAGTTCCAGACCAGCCTGGGCTATAAAGTGAGCTCAGGGCCAGCCTGAACTGCATAGCAAAACGCTGTCTCAAAAAGACAAAAATAAGTAAATAAAAGAAATAAGTTTAAGAGGGCTGGCCGGATAGCTCAGTGGACTAAAGCGCCTGCTTAGGTAGAGCGCAGTGGCTGGGGTTTGATCCCCTCCATGCTGTGCCGGCCCTGGCCCAGGGCTCTCTGAGATGGCGACTGAGGCTAGGTGTGGTGGCGCACACCTGTAAGCCTGGCTCGTGGGAGGCTGAAAACAGGAGACTCACTACGAGTCCCATCTGTGTAGTGAGACCCTGTAGACCCTGCCCTAATACAGAATAAATAAATGAATAAATAAGTTTAATTAATTTTAATAATCGTGAATCTCTTCAGGTCACCAATATAATATTCTGTGTACAGGCTTATTGTTCTACAGAAGGATTAGAATGGCTTCCAGAGGAAAGACAGAGACCAGCAAATTGAAGCAGAATTTAGAAGAGCAGCTGGACAGACTCGTGCAGCAGTTACAAGATCTGGAGGAGTGCAGGTAGTGTGTGCTCTGACGCCGGAAGCAGCTCCCCTCTGCATTAGATTGCAGCCTCCACCAAGCAGCCCCGTGGTGATTTGCATTTCTCCTGCAGTGTCTTTCACAGCACTTTGTCTTTTGAAGGAGTAAACTGAGAGCAGGCTTTAGAGTCCCAAAGGCTGGCATGCAGAAGTCTTAGAAGTACTTCCCTAATGCATGTAGACTCCGCCAACACTTCCTCTCCGTGAGGAGGAAATCACCCTGCCTCCTCATCCGTGCTACATGAGGCTGCCTGGCATGCACTGCTGAGGTCTGGCTTCAGCCTGGATGCCTCACAGGACTGTCCCTGGGCTGTGGCTGGAGCTCAGTGCGGAGCTGGTACCTGGCACACCTAGGGCTAGGGTTTCACTCCCGAGCTCCAGAAATGAAGAAAACAGTGCTCAGGGCATCTTTTAAGAGCCATGTAAGGCCACAGTGAATATGACAACTCGGCTAGAGTGAGGCAGGGCTAAGTGGGAGCTGTTATTTGAAGTAAATATTTTATAATAAAATATTTAATAACAAAAGCATCTTACTCAGATGACAAAGACTGTATTTGTTGAGGACACAAAATCTTTCCTACCATTAGTGATCCATATCATGAAGTAACTATAGCTGTTTATCAAGCGCCTATTACTATGTATGCCAAGCACGCTCTTTATCTCATATATAATGATCACAGCTACCCTATTAGATGGGTACTGTAGCTAGCAAGAGCTGTAGAGATGAACTGAGGTTTGGCTCTGCTCACTACCTTGCCCAAGGCCATCGCGTACGCTTTGGGAAGTTACCGTCACCAAGTGCAGCAGTGTACACCTGTCATCCCAGCACTCAGGTGGCTGAGCTGCAGGATGGAAAGTTCTGAAGCCAGCCCCAGCCACGTAGCAGTTTAGTGAGACCCTGCCTCAAAATAAAAAATAAGGGGCCGGGGAGATGGCTCAGTAGAATAAGTGCTTGCCTGGCAAGCGCAAGGGCCTGACTTCAATCCCCCGTTCCACCAAAAAATAAATAAATAAATAAAAATAAAATAAAAAATAAATAAGAGGCTAGGAGCTGGGGTGGCAGTTCACTGGATAAGTGCCATCACCAGGGGAGAGACTGTTGCTGAGGAGGGGATGGCTCTGAGCCCCAGGACCCCACAGCAAACACACCCAAGAATGCAAAATGGAAGCCAGAGCCCAGGCCAGGCCGTGTCTGACGCCTCGGAGCCAGGAGCCTGTCTCTTCATGGCAGGCGCCACAGAGGCGGCAGCTCAGCCTCCACTCTGGGGCTCTTCTGGTGGTATTTTTTTTTTAACTTTACTTTTGGCTGCTCCAAATCTTGCTTAGAAGTAAGGCAGCCATGCATCTGCATGACTTCGGCACGCTCTCTCCTAATCTGTTCAGGGTTAAGAGCAGGCTTCAGGGCAGATCCCTTGAGGTTGTTGTGAAAAACCCAACAAATATTTTGTAAAAATAATTGTTTATAAACTGGGTCCAGGGGCTGGTAAGATGGCTCAGTGGTCTAAAGCACCTACTTAGAACAAGTTTAGCAAAGCACAGGGACTGCGGTTCAATCCCCCAGCACCACATGCCTGCCAGCCCTGCCCCCTGGTGGACTGAGCTGGCCACACACACACACACACACACACACACAAATAAATAAATAAAATTAAAAAAAAAACAAAAAACTGGGTCCAGTGCCACATGCCTGTAAACCCAGCACTTGGGAGGCTGAGGCAGGAAGACTGCCTTGAGTTTGAGGCCAGTCTGAGCCTCACATAATGCGTTGAAGGGAAGCCTGAACTACATGTGAGATCTTATCTCAAAAAATACATACAGGGCCAGGGAGACAGCTCAGTGGCATAAGCACCTGAGTTTGATCCCCAGTACTACAAAATAAATACAATACAAAATGCATATAAGTAAGCTAGTCAGGTGTGGTGACACATGCCTGTAATCCCAGCACTCAGGAGTCTAAGCAGGAGGATCGTTGGTGAGTTTGAGACCAGCCTGTGCTACAAAGTGAGCTCAAGGGCAGCCTGAACTGCATAGAGACCCTGTCTCGAGAAAAACAACAACAACAACAATAAAATACAAATACAAATAAAATAAAAAGGGCTGGGAATGTAGCACTCAATTCCAAGGCCCTGGGTCCAATCCTTAGTACTGCCTCCCCCAAATGATTCATTGTATGTTTATTAATTATGACTGATTTGGGTAAAAGAGAAATGTTTCACTATTACAATGAACATGCTGAAGAAGATGACCATGATCACGCCCCAACTCTGGGTACACCTGTGGTTAGATTGTGCTGTTTCCCTTCAGCCTTGCTCTGGCAAGCACTAAGGTTGCTCTCTCCCCTTGGAACTCTCTTTGTGCTGCTCACGGTACCCCAGGGAGGAACTTGACACGGATGAATATGAAGAGACCAAAAAGGAAACGCTGGAGCAGCTGAGTGAATTTAATGATTCACTGAAGAAAATCATGTCTGGAAATATGACTTTGGTGGACGAGCTCAGCGGAATGCGGCTGGTAAGCAGGACTTTTGTTCCTTTCCTCCGGAGGGCGTACGTATTTTTCTGATAGGAAACGCTCCCCTCTTGGCGTGCCTTCGTGGTGAATGTCCATTTCTGCACACCGGGGCAGGTCTTTCTGCTTTGGGCTGCAGGGAAATGCACAGAAATAGGAAATGAAAACTGATTTCATAACAGTCTCGAGGAACAAAGACCCATTCATCGTGCCCAGCGAGTCGGTGATGCAAATCTGACTCGCAGGAATGTTTGGGTTAGCTTTTGCCTCTCTGTGTTTCTAGGCTATTCAGGCGGCCATCAGCCAAGCCTTTAAAACCCCAGAGGTCATCAGATTGTTCGCAAAGAAGCAACCTGGTCAGCTTCGGACAAGGTTAGCAGAGGTAAAGTTTCTGCAATTGATCAGGCCATTGTGTGTGTTTTTCTTCTCAGCCTGAGAATTTACTCGTTGTGATAGCCTACAGGTTAACTGTGTTGTCAGACTCTGCCTCAAATAAACAAACATATCAGCACACTCAAAATAGTACCAATATATGCTACATATGTTAGTGTTTCTTATGGGAATGGAAATATTAGTGTAGGTTCCACTTACTTCATTCACGCCTATAGAGCAGTGCTGGCGAGCTTGTTAGAGCTTTAAACAACGCAGCAGCCACTGCAGCAGGCATGGTGTAGGTTCACCACCAGAGCTATCGACCATACTCAGGGCCTTCACTTGGGGCTGCACCCCAACCATATCTACTGCTATTGTGAGAGGAGTCTCGTGTGCTGCCTCCCACGTTCGATCCTCCTCCCTCAGCCTTCCAGGGTGCTGAGACTCCAGCTGTGTGCCACCACACCTCGCATTTCGGTAATTTCTTTCTTTCTTTTTTTTTTAATTTTATTTATTTATGGGTGTGTGTGTGGCCAGCTCAGCCCACCAGGGGGCGGGGCTGGCTGGTATGTGGTGCTGGGGATTGAACCGCGGTCCCCGTGCTTTGCTAAGCTTGTTCTAAGTAGGTGCTTTAGACCACTGAGCCATCTCACCAGCCCCTTGGTAATTTCTTGAGACAGGGTTTCACTATGTAATTCAGGCTGGTCTTCAACACACTTGTAGACTAGGCTGGCTTCAAATGCATGGTGATCCTCCTGCCTCAGCTTCTCCGGTGCTGAGGTGACACATGTGCATCACCATGTCAGCTTATAACTCTTCAGAATCCATTCTTTAGCTTGCAGTACCATTTACTTCGTAGCACGTAATGATTCCATTCATCGTGGAGGGTTGGTGCATGGACATTTTAATTCCTTTTTCATCCCCGTCACCTTCTCCCTGCTTCATTCTTTATACTCCAAATCAAGTAGACAGTTTCTTTAAGAAGGAAAGCTAGAGAGCTGGATTTCATGCACTGAGGGTTTTTCTTACCATGTGTCTACATCGTCCCTGTAGATGGACAGAGATCTGATGGTGGGCAAGCTGGGGAGAGAGCTGTACACTCAGCAGAAAGTGGAGATCCTCACAGCCCTCCGCAAGCTTGGAGAGAAGGTACTGCATTAGCTGACTGTATCAGGCCTGGGGAAAGGGGGACACATTGTTGCTGAAATTCTGACCTGTGCTCTAGTTTCTGCCCCCCTGAGATGTTCCTGACTGTGGTCCCTAGGAGCCCATGTGACCTCTGAACCAATGGGCTGTGTCTCATTTTGCTCAGCTGACTGCAGATGACAAGGCCTTCCTGTCCGCCAATGCCGGTGCTGTCCTCAGCCAGTTTGAGAAAGTCTCTTCTGACCTTGGTGAGTGCCCTCCTGTTTCTTTTCCCATCTTCATTTTTATTTTTATTGTTTTGTGGCTGGCTCAGCCTGCCCCTGGGGCTGACGCAGCATGTGGTGCCAGGGATTGAACAACTAGCCCTGCACTTGCCTAAGCTTGCCTAAGCAGGCACTTTAGACCACAGAGCTATCTCACTGGCCCCCCATTTTATATTTTTTGCAATTTTTATCAGTCCATGTCTATGACACACATTGATTACTCCCACTGTGGGAAGTTGGTGTGCATGCATAGTCCAACTCAGTCCTTTTTTCTTTCCTTTCCTTTCTCCCCATCCATCTCTTGGTTCCCTTCCCATTTGCAAAACTCCCTTTCCCTGCTTCGTGCTACCAGGAGGAACCTTATGAATTTTTGGTACCGGGGATCAAACTCAGGACCTTGTGCTTGCCAGGCAAGCACTTAAGCTGCTGAACTATCTCTCTGGCCAACCATATATTTAAGTCTGTGTGTCTGACTCACGACAATTAAGTCTTTTTAATTTTTTAAAAAATTTTTTTCATTTATCTATTTGGTATAGGGGCTCACTATGCAGCTCATCCTCGTAGTGATTCTCCTGTTTTCAGCCTTCCCAGCACTGGGATTATAGGTGTGCGCAACCACACTCAGACTTGGTCCCCTGCTCAGCGTGCCCCTGGATGGGGCCAGTGGCATGGGAGACCAGGGATCAAACCCTGGTCCCTGCGCTTGCCAAAGCAGGCGCTTACTCCACTGAGCTGTCTCGCCAGCCCGCAACACCTAAGTCTTGGAAGCCACATTCGTGTCCTTCAGCAGATGTATGGATGAAGGAACAGTGGTTTTTAAAGTGTGTTTGTTTGCTTTTGGTGCCACTGGTGGTTGAAATTGAGGGCTTCCTGCTGCTGACAGAGCTCCCCACGCCCCTTTCTTGCCTCTGGACAGGGTGGGAGTTGTTGCTCCACATTGAGAGTGAGTCATGTGGTGACCTTTTGTGGTTTACAGTGGCACCAGAATTGATTATTTTGTTTATAAATCCCTTTGTGTTGGTTTTATTTCCCAATACTTTTTTAAATTAATTAATTTAAATAATTGAATTTTGTAGAATTAAATTATGCAGCCTAATTTTTGTTTTTAATAATTATCTATGTTTTGAAGTGAGGTATCACTGTATTTCCTAGGCCAGCCTTCAACTCCTGGGCCCAGGGACCCCATGCCTCCCCTCCTGGGTGCCTAGGATGCCGGGCATGCGCAGCTTTGCTACCTTGCATTTTCAAATTCTTGTTTACCAGCTGTCAGACATAACTGTGGAAGTAAACTGGAAGTTCTTTCTGTTTCATAGCTACATCTGGAGTTAGAATTTGCAGCCAAGCAGCCTCTCCTGTGGCTGGCTTGTTTGTACTGAGGGGAGTAGGGGTGGCCATGGGAAGAACGGGGTCACTGTGTTGACAGCGGTGGCTAATTCTATGTCCCTGTATGTGACGTGGGGTTGCACAGGTGTTGGAAATAACCTTGTTATTATGTGTTTCTCTCAGGCTCTGGAGACAAGGTCCTTGCTCTGGCAAGTTGTGAGGTTGAAAAAGCAAAAAAGTGACATGATTTGGCACCTGGTGACGTCGATTACATTCTTACTGCAGATGGTGGGTTTCTTCTGAGGATTCTGAATTGTTGCAATGAAGTAGAGATTCCTAACATGGATGTACACCCTCAGAACGGGTGACAGGAAAGCACAGTGGCTCCATCCCGCTGCTCAGCCTGTGTCGCCTCCGTGCTGAGCACCTGGCCGTGGTGGGATGGCGGGACTCGCTGAACCCACTCCTCCCAATCTGTCTGTTCACAAGCGATAACATAAAATGACTTCTCTGTTTTTACGAAGGCTCCTTGCTTCTCAGTGCCAGTACTGAAGGGAAAAGGGAGAGCCAGGATTCCTCCTGTCTCTCCCTCTCTCCCTCTCTTGTGTGAACAGTGCCACAGCCTCACAGACCAAGGACTAAGTGACCTTAAGAAATTGGCACTCAGAGCAAGCGAGGGTGGGGATGTTGTGCTGGCCTAGCAAGCATAGGCCCCAGGTGCACTTCCCAGTACAGCCAAAGAGAAATTAAGAAGAAAGAGCAAGCAGTGCTTTGCTTAAAAGTATGTTAGAGGTCTGGCGAGATAGCCCAGCGATCTGAAGCGCCTGCTTAGGTAAGAGTGCAGGGACCACAGTTTGATCCCTGGCACCACATGGCACACCAGCCCCCCCCCAGGGTAGGCTGAGCCGGCCACACACACACACACACACACACACACACACAAAGTACATTAGAGAAGGAACTAGGATAAAATTCAGGTGTCCTGGCTCTTACTTTATTGTCAGTTTAATTTTATTTTATTATTTTGTAACACTTTAAAAAAAATAATGAACTTGAACTTGAGCAAGTCAGGTCTCTGAGAATTGGATGCCTGACCCAAAGCTGATTGGGCACCAAGGGACACCCCCTGCCCAGGCACCCAGCATGAACAGAGCCATTGTGTTCCAGGATTTCTGCTTGGGAACAATGGCGCCCTGTTGAGTCCCCCAGTAACTCCTCCTGCGTGGTTTCTAGAGGCCTCGTGGGCCTGACCTCCTGCCAGGCTGAGAGGGAACAGTAGGCTGCTATTTACTCTGCCATTTCAGGGCAACACAAAATGAGTTCTGAGGAAAAGCAGGTTTCTCTTAGGGTGTCCACATCTCCCTGTATGATTAACGCAGACACGTCCGCACGTGTGCATTAGCTTATTTCCTAAGCTTTGACTATCCTGTCTTCTTCCCTGTGTTGGTCTGTATTATTTTTCTTTTGCACTTTAGAAGAGTTAAAACATTTTAATGCTTCCTGTATACTGTAAATTCTACTAGGTGCCTTGCCAAGTAGACAAATTAGAGGACCTCAGCTACAGTAATTCCTTATTGGGAATTTTGAACATTTTTCTGGGGCTTTTTTTGATGCATTTAAGTACAGGGTCTACAGGGTCTAACTACACAGATCAGACTTGTAGTGATTCTCCTGTTTTTCAGCCTCCCAAGCGCTGGGATTACAGGCGCACACCACCACACCCAGTCTCAATCTCTGTCTTACAGCACAACAGGCCGGGGATCGAACCCCTAGCCCCCGTGTCTGCCTAAGCAGGTGCTTTAATCTGCTGAGCTATCTGGTTGGCCCTGTATTCTTTTTAAAGAGTTTTATTATGTTGCCCACACTGGCCTCAAACTCCTGGGCTAAAGTGATCCTTCTGTCTCAGCCTTCTGGGTACTAGGACCATAGGCATGTGCCACTGCCCCAAGCTCATGGGCTATTTATCTTTTCCTAATTATTTTTAAATGTATGTATTTGGTGTAGGGTCTCACTACACAGCTCATAGTGATCCTCCTGTTTCAGCCTGCCCAGCACTGGGGTTATAGGTGTGCACCACCAGGCCCAGTCTTGGTGGCCGGCTCTGCGCAGGGCCAGCACAGCATGCGGTACTGGGGATTAAACCCAGGTCCTTGTGCTTGCCAGGCAGGTGCTTAGACCACTAAGCTATCTCCCCGGCCTCATGGGCTGTTTCTTATATACTGGTTTATGAAAAACTCACTGAGGCCTGGTGATGTCACAGGAGCAAGACCTTGGGTTCAATCCCTACTACAGCATCCAAAACAAAATCTCCGAAATTGTGGCAAACCAAGAAAAACCAGGTTACCCGCGATTCAGCTAGGGCTTCATGGTCATTTGCCATGATTTCATAGTTCGGTGTGGGTTTGAGTCAGGTGGACTCTCACATCAGTGAAGTTCACTGTTTCCCAGCGTGCAGTTGAGCGGTGATAATTCTGCTCACCATGGCGTGTGGCCCTCATGGAGTCCTGCGCTGGAACTTGTTGTCAGCCCTGACGGGCCCATGCGCCCCTCTGAGCGCTTTGCCCCTGTGCCCTCGCCCAGCCCTCTGAAGCTGTGGCTTAACCTGCTCAGGGCACTGCAGAGAGACGGCTCCTCCAGGAGGCTCTTTCCTGTGTGTCCAGCGTGCTGTTTTCAGTTAGCCCACACTGTAGATGGCCTCAGTACTTTCTTTATTTCTTTCTTCCTTTCCCTTTTTTTTTCTTCAGTACTTTCTATGGCCAGATTATATTTCCACTATAGAGGAACTGCATTCTGCTTTATCTGTTTATTTTTTTTTATAATAACTTTCTATTTATTTATTTATTTTAACACTTATTGTATGTGTGTATGTGTGTGGCCAGCTCAGCCCACCAGGGGGCGGGTCTGGCTGGCATGTGGTGCTGGGGATTGAACCGCAGTCCCTGTGCTTTGCCAAGCTTGTTCCAAGTAGGTGCTTTAGACCACTGAGCCATCTCTCCAGCCCCTATCTGTTTATTTGTTGACAAATATTTGAGTTTTTACCTTTTGGCTATTGTCAATTATGCTCTTAGGAACATTACCCATATTTCTTTGAGTATCTTTTTAGTTTTTTTGAGTTATAGTCTGACAGTTGGGTTTGGCATATTTGGTATGTTTGTTTCTTAACCATATCAGGATTCTTGGGGCTGAGGAGATAGCTCAGTAGAATAAGCGCTTGCCTGGCAAGTGCAAGGTCCTGAGTTCAATCCCCGGTACCACACACACACACACACACACACACACACACACAAAAGAAAGGATTCTTCTCTACTTTACCCCCAAGTACACCAGGAAAATGTAGAACTTTGCACTTGAAAAGGATTTCTATGAACCTGAAGTCCTTAATCTCAGTTCCCATTAACCCTTTTTTTTTCTTTCACTACTGACAATTGATGAAAACCTGGACCTTGGCCCTGAGCTGCATCCCCAGCCCCCCACCCCACCCCACCCTTTTTTTTTTCCTGAGACAGGGCCTCCCTAAGTCACAAAGCTGCCCTGGTTGGACTTGAACTTTCAATCCTTCAGCCTTAGCCTCCCAAATACTGGGATGACAGGCCTGCACTGCTGTGTCTGGCCTTCCTTAAACTTTAAGACCAGCATGGGCAAAACATTTTGTTATTAATCACAGTCATGTATTCAGTGTAAAATGATCTACCTTTAGAAGACACAGATGTGTAGCCCAGCAAGACCCTGACAGCGATGGGTGTGTGGCCTCTGGCAGCTGGCTTCACCCCTCCCCACTCACTGGGGTAAGAACAACCTCACAAGTTACCGCGCATCCCTCTCCTCCATCATGGTGAACAAGGGCCGCTTTGGCTCCAGCCCGCCACTCCAGAGCACTCAGAAAAAATGAGTTGGAAAGTGAATTCTGTGCACTTACCGTCACTGACTGGCTTGTAAGCCGTGCTTCCTGGTCACAGTCTCCAGAAGTTGGCGGTCTCAGTCTCACTGAGGCAGCTCACTTCTCCATGTGCTTGTGTCAGGCTAATATTTTGGTGAAATTCCTGTATTTCTCCAAGAACTGGGGCTGAAGCAAAATAAGTTCCAAGTGAGGGAGTATCACCTAATGAGCCCCAGCACTTCCTGGGCTGTGGCATTCAGCCTTTATCCCGCGGCTGTAAAACAGCTCTTGTAGGTGGGCAGGTTCCCGGGATGCCGAGGGGTAGGGGTTACGTCCAGGAGAGAGCTGGAGTTGGGACAGTGGGCCATTGACTTGCCTAGACCTGCTTTGGAAGACATTCAGCTAGGAAAGGTGGTCTTTCGCAAATAAAGGCTGTGCAACTCTACGGCTGAAATAGTATCTTATTGTGAATGATGGATAATTTCAAATTGTTACAGAATCGATCAACCCAGGTCATTTTGCCTAGAGCCTTTCAACCACCTGCCCACAATCCTCCCACCCCTACTCCTCTCTGTTCACTCCTAAAACCAGGAATGCTTCTTCTGCCTTCTTTTTTTTTTTTTTTTTTTTTGTTTTTTTTTTGCCGGGTTCTTACTATGCAGCTCAGGCTGGCCTTGAGCTCACTTTGTAGCCCAGGCACATCTTGAGCCTGCAGCAATCCTCCTGCCTCAGCCTCCTGAGTGCTGGGATTACAGGTGTGTGCCACCACACTTGTCTGTTTCTCTGCCTTTTAACATGCTCTCTAACATTAGAGCCAGGCATGTAGCTCAGTGGCACAGCGCCTGCCTGGCAAGTGCAAGGCCCTGGTTTGATTCCTAGTACAAGTAAAATAAAACTGTCCACATTCCCACAGACCACATGAGCAAACTGCAAGACACAATCACTGCCATCTTGTCTGGTCCTAGAAGTGAAAAGATCTGAGAAATTGCAGAAACTAATATTTAAGAGCTCATCAAAGTGCAACACGCAGATTAAAAACAGCAGAGAGTATCAGATCCCAGCCTTTTGCCCAAAATCCGTTTCCTGCCTCCCAGCTCCCGTGGGTAACAAGGCTCAGACGCCGTTGCTGAGAGGGCCTTCGACGCCAGGGGGCAGCACTGATCTCAGCAACTGCGCCGCCTTTCAGACCTGCGGTGCAGCGAGTAGACGCTGCTGGCTGGAGTGAGCGTCCTAAGGCTGCGCTGTTTGCTTAGGAGAAGGTCCTTGCCTACAGCCGCAGTCATTTACTAAGCTGAAAACGATGAGGGCTGTGATGTAGCTCAGTGCTAGAGCGCCTGCGTCGCGTGCACAAGACTCTGGGTTCCATCCCCAATAAAGCAGTCACGTCTTCTGTGAGAGGGCAGCAGGGCGCGGTGGTGCATACCTGTCATCCCAGCACTTGCGAGGCTGAGGCAAGAGGGTTGCTGTGAGTTCAAGGCTGGCCTGGGCTACAT